AGAGTGGGAACTCCTGGTCATCTGAGGTAAGCATACATAGAAAAATGTTTGCTAACCTGCTCAGTTGCACTCAGAGGACTATTATGCTTTCGCTCTTTCACTTCAAATGGCAGTTCAATTTCTCATTCAAAGAACAAACTTTGGATCAACCACTGCCAAAAGACCCTGAAGGATACCTTTGATTCCCTGCACTGCCCTGAGAAGAGTGACTCTACCGCTAGCTTTTCAAAACAGGAGAAAAATGTAACTGGCAATGCTGTTCCCAGGATATTAATCCTAACCTTCACAGTGGTTGTTAAAATGCACTTATGAAAAGAAAAAACAACAGGACTTTACACATAAGCAGACATATGAACATACAGTAGATACTGTCTTACGTGTAACGTACTTATATATTTGCACTAGAAGAACCACACAAAAGGGCTGTAGAGTCGTGAAAGCAAGCTACTGTATATTTTCTTAGATTTTTATTGATTTTTCTCAATAATAAAATACAATATTAAGAAATACATTGATACAAGGTAAGTATAGTGAACAACAAAATAAAGGTTCAAATTGCAATAATACACTTCTTGGTCAATAGTATAACATTAAAGGCAACATTCCTTTTAAGTAAGGACATAGTGAACCATCAAGTAAGCGTTCAAGATCAAGTAATACAGGTAAACAAGTTTTTTCCCTATACAGGAAAATGAAGGCAAGTATTCAAATATAAATACAAACATCAAGTCTGCAGTACAATCCATACTCAGTAGTTCTGGCAATGTACCATACATTCTCTGGTAATTAATTCCCTGTGCTTTGTAAACCATTAGGATAAAATAACATTTAAAAAAAAAAAAAATCCAAACCGAAAATAAGCTTTTTCTCCTCTAAAGTGAAAGCAAAGCAATTCGGTTGGCACAAAACTTCCTGTATCCTTCAGCCAGTCCAAGGAGGAGCCTGCAGGTCCAGTTTTCCATGGCAAAGCTGAGCCACAGTAAAAGGTCAGCAACAGCAAAAGTGCAATTCCTATCTAATTAATTACACCAAGCCAATTGTGTCTTTAGGAAATGGATGCTGGGGTCCAGGAAGGCATTTTATCTCCCATAAACATTTCGATATGGTCAAAGAAATCTTTTGCCACAGCTGGATAAAGTCAGGTAAAACCAGAGGCTGTGTGTAACAGGAACCCCTCCTCTGCCTGGCATAAGGGTGCAATCTGGACAGAGATTTTACCCCAAACCCTGCCAGTCTCTCTGATGTTTAGTACAGGTCCTGTGCAGTACATTATAAACTACCATGCGATGCTTAATACAATCTCTTTATATTATTCTCCTTTTCATTCTCCATTAAACAATAGAAAATACAAATGAAAGCAGAACAAAAGCCACACTTCTTGAGTAACGCAAGTTAAGCAGAAAGCGTATACCTACAACAGAACAACTGATAAAATAACCTGCCCATCTACTGCATAAGCATCATTGTAGAGCAGTAGAACATGTAGACGTCCCCCTGCTAAACAACCTGGTTTTTGGTCTTTCAAAAAAAGAAAAAATTAAAAAAATAGAAAAACCTCTCCATACTTAGGAGCTAAGAGGAGAGCTGGATTTGTTTTGTTTCAAGTCAACAGAGGAAACTGTGAGAAAGTACACTTAAATGTGATTTTTTGTTTTTGTGCTAAGCTCACAAGAAGTCACTTGCTCAAGCTCTCTCGATGGCTGACCTCATTTGCACATGAACATCTCATAAATTATAGGCAGTGCTCATGATATTTTGGTTTTGGTTTTTTTTAAGCCTTGCTCTTACCAGGCAAGCAGAGAAGAGTATTTGAGGTTTTTACTTTGCCTTTTGGGGTGTTTTTTGAAGTTAGTCTACAATGACTGCCACTAGTGTTATTGTCCAAGGTGAGGGGTGCAGGGGACAGAACTCTACCAGCTGCTGGGAATACAACACTACCAGTACAGATAAACTCAAATACACGCTTTTCAATACTGGAAAATCTACACCAAGAGTTTAGAAAATGAATGCCACTCAGTAGGAGGCATCCTTGGCTCTACCAAGGTATTTTAGAGAGCAAAGGTCCTGTGAATTTTATGTGAAGGGGGACACTGATATGAACTGGAGTCTCAGAGGAACCAGAAATCAGAGCATATTCATAACTGTATCTGGTGCAGCCTGGAAAGAGATAGCCTTAGAGAAAAGAACATATTAATATTCTTTTTGATTTTTTTTTTTTTTAATTTTAAAATCTGAATTCTTTTGAATTCTTTTCCATTTGCTGAAATTTTCAGGGGGTCTGGAAAAAAAAGCAAACAACACCCTGTGATATAGTATAAAACTAATATTTCAAAATAAAGTTCACGCTAAACCAGACAACTTCATAAAAAACGTGTTCATTGTTGGATGTAATTTTTCCCCCAAGACAGACATTGTTAAATGCCCAATTAAGTAACATAATCATGCAACTGAACATGGAGGTCAACCATGCAGCTAACAGCAATGATTGCAAGTGTACCTGATTATCATGAATATTTTCTGCTCCCGGGCGAGGGGATGACTCTTCACACACAGCAAGACTCCGGACGAGTTTTCCTTTAGCTCCTGACTGAATAAGAGAGAGAAAACAAAACAGAGAACACTACTACTGACCCCAAGTCACACAAGCTGCCCCTAAATATCCCAAATAACTACTACCCACCCAGCCAGCAAAACTGAATCTGCCTTCAATGCCGATAGAAAAGTATTCGAAGCAACGAGCCATTTGCCACACAGGGGAGGTGGTAGGTTTCTTTTTGGTTTTAATTATTTCTGCTACAGTTCACTCACTTCCACCAAAAATCACAACAGCAAAGAATAGATAATCCAATACGGAAGGTAATTTAACATAAAGTTAAACTCAAAGGTTCCTTCTGTCATTTGGTTTTTGGTTGGTTTTGGGTTCCCTCCTCCCCACTCTGTTCTTCTAGTAGTATTATATCCAAGAAACAGGGACAATAAAATGTGCAAGTTTGATGGATCTGCACTTGGAAAATTAAAAGAAGGTTTTGGGGGGGTTTTTTTGGTTCCTAGAAGCCCCCCCCCCCCCCCCCCCCCCCAAAGGGAGCTAGACAGTCTCTACTTCTTTATGTCAAGATTAGTCCATTAAAATAAAATTCAAACAAAAACGTTAATTACTAAAGCAAAAGGAACAAGCTGTTTCCTTCCCCAGTGGCACACACAAGCACACACACTGTCTAACACAAGCACACAGTGAGCCCAGCAGCATAAAAATATGATGGATAAATAAAGGGGAGCCTGGCACATTTTATCTAGAGAAAGTCCTCTGCCTTTGTGCAACAAAAATGGGGGGGGGGGGAAAAAAAAAAAACAACAACCCACACCAAAACCCACCAAACCACAAAACACCACATAAACAAAAAAATCCCCAATCTCAACACAAGTAATGAAAAGCCACTATTTCAATTGCAGACAGACATTTGATTGAAATTCTTTATCCTACCATGGCATGCAATTCCAAACAGAGATGAACCCTTACCTTGGATCTCTTTTTCTGCTGGTTCTGATTTGCACCTCGTTTCTGGGTATAGCAAAAGAGAAGCAGTTATCACCTCAGTGGAAAATGTGCATGACGAGTATTACCAGTAAAGAGACTAAATCACTCCTAAATGATATCTTAATCAGTTACTGACTGCAAAAACAACTTCCCCAAACCCAGTCTGGAAAGCAGGGAAAACCAAGAATCATCTCTGCTCACTTTATTCATTTTAAGAACAGGTATAAACAACAAAAACCACACTGCACAGCGTTCTGTAATTTTGCATATAATAAAAATGTAAGAAAAGGCATACTTAAGTAAATGCTCCCCCTCTCCAAATTCCTCTTAAATTGTAGTCTCCCCCTTTGTATTTATATTCGATTGAGCAAAAAGGATTAAAACCCCCTCATCCGATAAAGTCTTCTTTCAAATCAAATTACCTTCTTAGGCTTTGCATAACAACTTTTTGTTGGCAGTAACACCTACAAACCAAACCACACATTAAGTAATTATTTATTAGTATTACCTGTAAATTCATGAGATCAAGGTAGTTTTCTAAATCCCCAAAGAGGGAAAACAGTCAAATATTTCACCAAGCTTTAACACAGAAGTCTAAGAATTAACTTCTCAGAAAAATTAATAACATGGACAGCAGCCTAAAGAGCTTGAAAGGTATAACAAATAAGAGCATTTATTTTATAGGGAGATAAAAGGACCCAGAATAAAAAAAACAAATAAAATTTAAAAAAAAAAAAAAAGAGACAGAGAGAAACAGTCTCAAAATTATGAGAGAAAAAAATAGGGGAAGCGTAGGCAATGAAAGAGATCAGAGAAATGGAAAGGCAATGGTAACACATTGATATTTAACACGCCCATTTACTACTCCTGTCTTACCTGCAGCTCTGTCTTGGCATCGCTCAGCTTCTCCTCCTTCTCCTCTACTTCTGAGCTTTCAGATTTATTAAGGATACAGTTGTCCAGGTTGGCTTCGGAGATGGCAGTCTCCTGCTCTTTCACAGCTTCCTCTGCTGTCTCCTGGTTCAATTTACCTTGCTCAGACATTCTTCCAGACAGAAATTAAAATAACAAGATTTGGTGACCTGAAAGGTCAAGATATCACGACACAAACACACACACAAAAAAACACTGGGGGTGAATTTTTTTTTTTTTTTTTAAAAATTCCCAAGTAACTCCATTTCCTTTGATAAACAAACCAGAATATGCAGCTCAGGAGTGGAAAGCTATGTATGTCCCAGCTGAAGAGATGTACTGAATTGACAACATTCAATAACAGCAGAATTGTGTCAGGTTAAACGAGCAGAGCTCCGACCTAAACAGTCTTGGTGTACAGCAGATCTAAGGTAAGGTGCTGCGACTCCCCAGCCCTGGGAGTGCCGAGGTGCAGGCAGGGACGGTGATGGACTCTCCGCTACAGAGCTCAGCAGTGCCAGGCAGGAAGGACCCATTCAGACTTCCAGGTCTCTGGCATATCAGTGCTCCCCTCCTCTTGATTTTTTTTTTTTTTAAATAAAAAAGAATAGCCAAACAAACAAAGCAAGCAGAAATAAAAACCAAGCGTGAGCAACACCACTGTTTTCAGCACTCAGCCATGCATTTTGTACGTAACAGAAGCCCACGGCGCTCACTACCAGTTTAAAAAAAAAAATTATGGTTGAAGAGGTAATAATTCAATATAAATATAAAATCTAAATTTGGCAATAAAGCTCTCAGGGTCAGTGCTTTCAGGCATCAAACTGACAGCTCCATTATTAAAATCCTAAGCCTCTTCCCAAACCCCATGTCACTCTCCAGCACTATGAAAATCCTACAGGAAGCTCTTGCCAGGTATATCTAATGAAGATAACTGAACTGCATTTACTTGCAGTTCACAATGGGTTGTTGTACAGAAGCTTTAAACGCTTTTCAAAGTTAAAGCCTATTATTATTTTCTCTCTCTTTCTCTCTCTCTCTCCTCCCCAGCCCCCTCTTGAAGCCTCCCCCACTGATCAATTGTCAAATGAGACTCATGAATAATTTAACTTTTCTTTCCCCATCCATTTGGCTTAAGAAGTATCTTCAGGAAAAACAACTGCAGTTGAGAAAGGGATTTATTTCAGAAAGGTCTTTTGCAATACCTTGCCACTTCTCAACAATGAAACAGTGGCTATTAACAAAACCACACTTTGCCATGTTTCTTTTTACAGCTTGTAATTAACATTGAAGAGATCTCATATCACTTACCTTCCTTTTTTTTTAAGCTATGTTTTAAGTGAAAAAATAAGACCTACTGAGTTTTAAAAACTTACTTCTTCCGACTTCTGCTTTTGTTGTGACACTGTAAGCAAATAAAATAATAAAACCTTTCCTACATAATCTTCCCATTTGAGAAGGGTGGTGGATTTCACAAGAAATGAAGCTCCATCATTCATAAATAAACAGACTGGAATGTGAAGCTCACAAATTAGCTCACCATAAGCCAGTTCAAGGTTTGGGTTGTTCTTCCTCCCACCGCCCTCCCAGGAAGTCCCATGATAGTGACCATTCTGCAGTCACAACTGAAACTTGAAGCTTTTTGCTAAAAATTCAAAACACGATGAATGGCAAGACTTGACACTGGTCTGTTAAACAACCCTTAATTTGTTAAGGATTTACATCAAGAAATGCACATGCACGCACAAGTTCTTCATGGGCATATTACTCCCGCAGCTGATCTACATAGTTACACAGTGTTCACAAAAACAATTACACTCATAGCACCAAAGAAGCCGTTTACCTGAAAAACTGCTATAATTCCCACTGTCTTTCTAGAGTCTTCTGTTGCTCTTCACTGGTTAAGTCCACAGAAATGATCAATGACAACGTGAGTCCCATGTCCCCATTAACAGTTCAGAGTGCCAATCTCCATGCTGGTCCTTCAGAGAGTTTGACGGATCATAGTCAACCTGGAAAAAGACAAGAAGTAAATAATGACAACAGTAATGATCATGGTATAAGTTAAGGATGCAATAGATAGGACCAGATTTCTAACACTAATGACCAGCTTCAAGCAAATCACTTTCACAGCTTGATCCAGCTCCACCTGTCTCAAAACTGCCTGCTTCTTCTCTAATGAAGGCTAGAGCCGGCTGTTCAAGTCATAACAGCTCCTACGCAAGGAGCTAAAATTAACAATTGCATTATGCACTGAAGATTACTCACTTCAATTTTAACCTTTTTTAGTGAATTCCAGCACTTTTCATTAAAAAAAAGCATATATACATATTTATATATAAGCTCATCTGTTTGCTTCAACAGAAATCAACGAGGGTATGAGGAAAAAGGACTTGCCTGCTTTTTAACTACGGCTTCTGCTCCAATTAAAATTTCAGTAGTCAAACACTATTGAAAAAGGATGCTAGGTGGGTGCTTTTAGAAAGTGACCTCCTTCGCCAGGGTAGCGAATCAAGATGTTCATTTAATAAGCCGAATAAAAGCTGAAATGACCAAGAATGGGAGAAGGAAGAAATCCTATTCCCTGAACAGCAGCCACCAGAAAAACTTTCTTTTGAGGCACTGTGCGAGGAGAAGAAAGGAAATCTCCAGGTTCGTAAAATAAACCTGAAGAGTTGCCTCAGAAATGCAATTTCTGCTGTTTGTCAGGATTGTGTTTGCCAGCTGATCTGACAGAAAAGGAGCATTTTGGGATGAGTTGGACTGATTTACAAGCCATGGCCATGTGCCAAACTGTCTTGATACAACAGGCACCTCTTAAGGCTTGCACATGAATCACGGCTGAAGCAATTAGTGCACATACACAAAAACAGCAAATAGGAGGAAACATGTATCATGCTACTTGAGGTGGGGAAAAAAAAGCTGAAAATCATCTTGCTTTATTATTAGACTCCTTGTTTCTGAGGTACATTTTAAATTGTGCATGGTTGCAATTGCTGCACAGTATGTGGCAGGGCACTGGAACTCACCACATTAAAAGAGCTGAGTTTCATGTGCCAGAAACGGAATTTAGCCTTTCACAAAAATCAAGTCGTGCTCTCTCCAGGAGCTCAGGCGCACAGAGGAGACCAAGCAGGCAGTTCTACAAGCTACCACTGCTAGCCTGCAAATTTATATACATAAAAATATTTCTTTTCCTCAAACTACTTAATAATTTGTACAGAGTAATACAAAGTAAGTCTTCCCACTCACTTTTTAGTATTTCTTGCAGCACATTGTCAGAAATTTTATCTCACTGACAAACATACTTACAGGATTGCGATGGGAATGGAGGAACAATATGGAAAATTATGCCTAAGCGCTCAAGCACATGCAAATGTATTTCATGGAGCCAATACTCAGAGAGAAAAGAGTGAATAAACCACTGACTGAAAAACCTTTCCTCGTAACATCTTCCATTAGCCCTTTCCTTCACGCTTCCGAACAAGGGGCGGGCGGGGGAAATCAACCAAAATCCCCAAGGAAATACAGTGCATTACAGTTTCACCTGGACAACAGCCAGCCAGGGGTCAGACTGTTGCAATCAAACCCCTCCAAAACTAACTGAGAAATAGATGTCTATACCAAAATCAGGACACAAAAAAAAAAAATTATTTCAGGATTCTTCAGTGTTACCATGTGTTGTGAGTTAACTATTCATAAGGCAAACAAACAGAGCAAAACAAAAACCAGACAACAAATGAACCAAAGGGTATCACATCCAGCAAGCGACAAGATCTGCCAAGACTCCAATAAACAGCGTTTCTGGTCTTGTGCCACAGATGCTCAACATAATCTTATCAAGCTTTACCAAAGACATATTTCTTCATAAACTGAGTTTCCCATATTGTTACACTTAAAATCTCTGATGCCAACATCATTTTTCATCAGCAATGTACGAGAAGACCATAGAATCTTAAATTAAAACAACAAAAAAACCCCATAAATTTCCCCAAGAAAACATAAGCAAGTGAAAAACAAGCTTACAGTGTGCAGCTACCATTTTTCAAACCCGCAATGACAACAGGATGATTTTTTTTTTAAAAAAAAAAAACCTTTTATAATTATCTTCGGGGGGGGACAGGAAGAACTGAGACATATAGCAGTCACAGTCGAGCTCTTCACCTTCCCTCAGTATAAATTTCCTCCTCCTCCTACATTAGGCTATTTACAAGTGATGACTAATCATTTACATACTACCATACGTAAAATACAGTTCTAGTTGTTTGGGTTGGTTTTCAAAGGGACTCAGGGTTCTATAAAATACTCCAGGGAGAGTATAAATAGCAAAAAGCAATCAGTCAGAAAATAGCCATTAAGAGCGAGACATTTTGATTGAAAATACGTCTCTGTTTCTTGCGCATTTCCAGGATATCTGGTTATTCAGTGATGAATGCACTTTTTAGTATTGTCAGTCCTGCAGTGACAGCACTGCTATGGAAAAACATACTGGATTATTCTCTTTCTTGCACACCAACAGAAATGTCAGCAATGATTTGACTGTCAAAACCTTCAGTACTGAAGTGACGCAAAAGGCTGAACAAATGCACTTGTGTTTTTGATCCTCAGGTAGAAATTGCAAAGCTTGTTGCTAGGCAAAAACCACCTTCTTTATTTGCAAGCGAGCAAAATTTCATAGGGGTGTTGGGATCTTAGAAGCAGTCTACATGAGCTTGCGGCAAAATTTCAGTCTCTAATTCCTTAAAGCAACTTGAGTATTGCACACCGCAATGCAACAGAAAATACAGGTGCTCACCAAGCCATTTGTAGAACCACTTTAATGGAAATATAATCTGTTTGTACAGAATTTATAAGCACCAGCTGATCAGCATACACTGTGGGATGGAAATGCTGGGGTTTTTCCTTAAATTGCTTGCTTTATTAACAGGATTTTCACTGTAGAAGCTGAGGGTACTACTGAGCTTGAGCAGCTACTGCCAGAGCTCAAAGAGAACGGGATTGAAGAAGGACCATCCATGGTCACATTCATTCATACACCACATTCATTCGTACACCAGCAGATTCCAAGAAAAGTCTGTGAGAAGGAATACACTTCATTTAATGCAAGAGTTTAAAAACTTCACCCAGAAGAGCTGTCAAAAAAACACAGAACAGAAAAATGAGCAAAGACATTAGAAAGCCCTCCTCACTGAACATCTGATAGCTGACCATCAACTGAAATTAAACAGAGAGACATCTGACAACCCTAAGAGCCCACCACAGGAAAGTAAGCCCTTTCTGTATTATGTATCAGGAAATGTTTTGATGGTCTCAAAAGGTATCGCATACTGAAGCGGGAATTTTGAGATCCTTATGCTCCCAGTACATATCAACATGTACTGTCTCTCAGAAGAGAAGATGAGCAGGCTTTAAGGCTAGACAGAATACTTTTAACCAAGACCAGGCAGCAGCAGCTGGCAGGATTGAACCCTGCCAGAGTGAAACCCAAAGGTTTTTTTTCCTCCAAATGAAGCTGCTAAGCACAGAGGTAAAATCATTTGAGCCTGAATGGCTCCTGTAACTGAAAATTGGCCGTTGGTGGTGGTACCTACACATCAGGATCCTTCTCATCCCATAGTGATTCTCCACTTGCATGAATGGCTCGCGGGTATGAGCCCATGAAGCTGGAAGCAGAGATGTCAGTCATGATTTCCACTATGAGATATATACCTCATCCACAGGTATAAAGATAGCTTTGACTCATTATTGCTAACTCACTCATCAGATTCCTAGAAAACATTGGAAATGGCCTATGGCATTATCTTAAGATTATCAGTACACACAGCCCTCAATGTTGTCAAACTCTTGCGGCTCAATGCATGAACTTCCTGTTATTTTATTTACTTAAAAATTCCATTTCCTACCAGCAAGCAAATCTATGAAAATCTCAAGGTTTCAAGGTGAAAACAAAAGTGTCAACTCTCTGTGGTGGCTTCAAAGAAAATCTTCAGGACATAAAACCTATTGTTTGAAAAGAAAAAAAAAAAAAAAAACACAAACCAAAAACAACAACACACCAACCAAAACCAACCAAACCCCCAAACAAAGCAAAAAACCACCACTAACAACAAAAAAATCACAACCTCACCACCAAACCCAAAAAAAGGCAAGTAAAACAAATCCTACAGTTGTAGTTTGAACACACTACTTGGTTGTCAGTGCCAGTCTTCAGGACCTACATCATTAGACAGGCAGTACTGTGTGCTCCTTCTCACTGTTTTCCCACATTTCCCACAGAAATACACATAGGCACTTGGAAGCCAAGTTTGCTGCTGCATATTAGCATAGCAAGATAATAATCCATACCAGCTCTCAGACCAAAATGCTTTAGTATGGAAAAAAAATTTTAAATAAAATTAAAATTAAGGCTGTGAAATATGTGGAATCCTACAAGTTCACTGGTTGTTAAAAGACTGAAGACTAAACCTTAAAAAACAAGGGCAAAAATATTTTTAAAGGAAATGCTTGAAGCCTTATTTTATTTCCCACCTCCTCTTGTCTTCACTTTGTCCCCTCTCCATCATCACTACAAAAACAGATATAGTGATCGCTTACATTTTCTGCTCTTAGGTGCCACAGACCTTTCCAGATAAAAGGTTATTTAGACTCATTTACTGCTGGCACTTTAACAGAGACTGTCAGTTAACAGATGCAATTTGTTTTTTCCAGGAGCTGTAGAAACATGAGCATCTGTGTACAGGCAACAGCGCAGAGGCCGCTGACCCACCTTAAGCAAGCCAGCAAACGACAATCGGTGGCAACGGTGGTCAAATTTGATGAAAACAGGATGGATATTGCATCAGATTTCAGATTCTATGCAACACCCGGTTGTCTTTTAAAGGAGGTGACTAGATGATATGAGGAGCAGCATTCCAGCTGAAGCCTCTGTCTTGGAATAGCACTGGCTTTCCTTCCAAACTGCATGCGAAATCCAGTATTTACAAATTACAGTAGGGATGAGAACAGTCTAACAACCAAACAAAAAAAACCCACACAGAAACAAAGCAATTTTTTTTATGGTTTACACCCGATTGCTTTTTTCAGAGGGATCCTCTTGTTCCTAACGGATTGCCACCAATATTTTCCACTTTAATCTCCTGTCAGAAGACCTCAAGTCAATGTCATCATCTTCAGCCAA